CCAGGCTGGTCTCGACCTCACAACAATCCTCCTGCCTCAGCCTCCCAAGTGCTGGGATTATAGGTGTACACCACCATGCCCTGCTCAACCTAGGGGGCTTTGAAAGATATTAGTATTGAGTTGGGGCCAGGACTGGGGTCTAGCGTTGTGTCCTGAGCCCAAGCCTCCGTGAGGACACGGGGCAGCTCCCTCTACACCTCCATCCCAGGCTACGATGGACTCAGGCCTGGAGCCGCTTCATGGCTCCTCCTCCCTTTCTCGTGGGAGTCCTGTACCCCAAGAACCTGCTTAAAATGGGATTTCCAGGTCTGACGTCAAAGGAAAGCCATGCCTCCCTGATTAGCAGAGCGAAGCCCAGCCTGGCCCCGCCCTGAAGGAGGCGGGCCGAGCAGGGGAGGGGCGCGTTCTGGAGGATGGAAACGAGCTATTCCAGCGGCTCCCGCGTCTAAACACCCCGGTGGCTTCCCCATCACCTTACATTTCAGCCGGTGCCTGCTGAACATCTCCCTCCCAAACCCCCCGCCCCAGTGGTGTGCTGGGTCACACCTGGCTGGAAGAGGAGAAAAGCACCTTAAGTCCTCAGAGCTGGACAGCGGCTTCCGTTTGGATCCTGCTTGAGTAGGTCCCACATCGAGGCTGGGGCTGGAAGGCAGGGAGGGTGCGTGCAGAGATGAAAAAGCCCACTAGGTGGCGCAACTCTCTTCCAGTGTGGGATTCCGTGCCTGACAGAAGACGGAGCTCTCCCGCAGCCAGTCCCTCAAGTTCGGTGAGCAGAGAACCACATGCCCCAATCCACTGAGCATGAAGACAGCATCTTTGAGGGTGCACAGGACAGCTGTGGATTCTAAAGCAATCTCGCCTGTGCACACACACCCTGCCCACTCCCTACACAAGATGGTCAGCCCCAAAAGGTGCCTCCTTGCTGTGTGAGGATCAGGCACCCCTCCCTGGGGCAGGGAAATTGCTAGGCTGACCTTGAGAGAGTTCTACAGACCAAGAGATCCAGCCTGGGCTGTGTGTGTGTTATTGGGGATCAAACCCAGAGGTACTCTGTCACTAAGCTCTATCCCCCTGCACCACCCATGACAGTGTCTCCCCAAGTTGCCCAGGCAGGACCTGAACTTGTGATTCTTCTACCTCAGCCTTCCATAGTGCTGGGATTACAGGTGTGTGTCACCTCGCCTGGGTCAATCTGGGCTCCTGAAATGCATTTAGAAAATATGCTGGAGCTGATCTGAGGGTCAGAAGTAGGAGTTGGGCTGGGCATGTTGGTGCACACCTGTAATCCCAGCACTTGGGAGGCTGAAGCAGGAGGACTGCCATGAGTTCAAGGCCAGCTTGGGCTAAAAAGTGAGTTTAAAGCCAGTCTGAGAGAAAAAAAAAAAATAAAGCCAGTCTGAGTTACAATGCAAAGGGCCGGGGATGTAGCTCAGCGGCACAAGTGTCTGCCTGGCGACCTCAAGGTCCTGAGTTTGATTCCTGGTACCAAAAAAAAAAAAAAAAAAAAAGAGGAAGAGGAAGAAGGAGGAGGAGGAGAAGAAAAAGGGTCCAAAGACAAGGAAGTTGACCCAGTGGCACTGTTCCCTGGACATGGCATAGTGGCCAGCTCAGGCCCGCTCCAGACTTCCCTGCCCACTGCCCCTTCCCTTGTTTCATCTGTGTGCCATGAATCTTGGAGAGAAGATAGTGTCCCTACTCGCTAAAGCCTGGAATCCCTTATCTCCATGGATTCTTGCAAGGCCTGGGAATGGGGCTCCCAGTGACCTACCTTTTGTGACCTCTTTCCCAAATGGACCCCTGAACCCCTGATTAATTCCTCCCTTTGTTTCGTGCCAGGCAGATGAGTGGTCATACACTAGAATCTCTTGGCCACCCTATCCTATGTGAACTCGAGCACTGGCGGGTAGATGTGCGCTCCTGCCCGCAGCTCTTGGCTGTCCTTCAGCAGCATCAGGTCCTCAGCAGAATTTCCACCCAATCTCATCTCAGCCAGAATCACAACTCAGACCCATCAACTAAGAGGCGGAGACCCTGAAGATCAGCTCAGCCAGTGCCTGAGAAGTAGTGGCTGAGCTAAACCAGGCAGACTCTTCCTGGTCCCTTGGTTCTCCACGATGCTACCTGGATCCCATTTCCTGTTCTGGGTCTACCCTGGGCCTGCTAGGCGCAGCTTGTGAGCGGCCAGCTGAGGAGACTGCAGTCTCCCCGGCTCTGCCCGAAAGATCTGCAGCTGAGCAGAAGGCATGCGTGCTCCCAGCTTCTCTGGCCCAGGCCTCTCTCATCTGGTTCGTTCTCCATGAAGAAGGGAGGAGCAGAGGGAGAAGAGGCGGTGGAAGCTCTGGAGCCAACCCAGCCAGTACCAGCTCCTGCCCTGCAGGCACAGGCGTACCCAGCCTCTGCCTGCAGCTCCGCTCTACTGGAGCCTTGGCTGCCCAGATTCACCAGGTGAGCTGGAAGGGGCTCCTCCCCTCCTCCCCCGCAGGCGGTCAGAGGCACCCTCCAGGCCTCCAAACCTGTCCTTGCACCGACAGCGCACACCGCCTGCCTGGCCAGGGCCTGCTTCCCCACCAGCCTGAAAGCCCAGCTGGAGGCAACGGATCCGGCTGGTTCACCAGTTTGCCCAGCGCTGAGCACGGGCCTGGCGTGCAATAAGCACGCTGCACGTTTCTGCGGGATGGCGAACGCCGGCCCTGAGGGCTCTCCCTCTCCTGCAGAAACCACCTTCAGACCTCGGCCGCCTCTGCGGAGCCGCCGCTGCCTGCGCCACACACCGGCGTGGAGCAGTGCGGGGCTGACCTGGCTGCTGCCTCCCTGCTCCCTGCAGGTGCCCACACCTCTCTCCTCCCCCTCCTCACAGATGGCAGTCAGCTTTCCAGCCACAGTCAGTTCTCACTTGAATTCGATGCTAAATTGGGAAGAAGAGCAGCCTCACACTCCGGATTTAGCCTGGGAGAGAAAAAGTGAGACAGCCTGGATGTTGCCAGGGGAAGGAGAAGGCTGGGCCGGGGGTGGGAGGTGGTGTCAGACTTACCCAGGGCCTCAGAGAATACCCCGAAACCCCCAGCACCCCCTCCTAAAAATAAACCACACAGAGCTCTGCCCCACAGGGTCCCCGGAGGCCGCTTTCCCATTCCAGGGCAGCCTTTCCCATGTTTCCTCAGTTGGGACGGAGATGACAGGAGCAGAGGACTCTATGGTTCTTAAAACTAGAGCAGGATCTGCTGCTGCTTTGATCACTGGCAGTTACAAACTGTGAATTCATCTTAAACCTGGCTTTAAAGCCAGGCAAAGTAGCACACGCCTGTAAACCCAGCAATGGGGATGCTGAGGCAGGAAGATTGCCATGAGTTCTAGGCCAGCCTCGGCTACATAGCGAGGTCAAAGCC